GGGGAACGCCATGCTGGGCAAACGAGCCATTTCTGGAATCTGGTACATGGTGGGCATGGGGCCTGCAGCAGCCGGAGGGCAGCTGGACTGAGGCTGGGGCGCCCCGGCGGGTTGGGCAATCCCGCCTTTGGGGATTAGCTGGAAAGTCACGATGGGGGGCAAGGGCTCCCGGGAGGCGGTCATATGCTTCCCTTCCGGCGGCCTGCTCTGAGGAGCTATGCCAGGAGGGGTGCCCTCAGCTGGTGCCAGTACCATACCAAACATCTCATTGTACTGGCTCTCATTCATCTCCATGCGGTTCATCCAGTCTGCCGGGACAGGGACCGGATGCAGCCTACCCACGCTCCCCGCACTGCCACTGCCTGGAGGCACCATGTGGTGGTGGGACAGCAGCTGGCTCACCGAGGGAAGCACAGTGCCGGGCCCGTGCGCCAAAGGCTGGATCTCACGGAGGTTAGAGAAGGACAGTGCATGCTGTGCGTGGACAGGGGCGGGGGCCGCGGCCGCGGCCAGCATGGGGTTGGGCGAGGCCTGTAGGAGGCCAGGGGATGTGATCATTGGGGAGGAGGTGGTGTCGGAAACGTAGGTGTGAGGGGACTCGAGGGAATCGACGGGGGACAGAGTCACGGAGCTCTCCGACAGCTGGGCCTTGTCACTCAGCGACTTCTTCCTCCTGCCACCCTTGGCCTCCTTGGCCTCCTTGGCCAGGTTAGGGAGGCTGGTGGGCACGGCACTCTTGGCGTTGGGCCGTCTGGGCTTCTTGCCCATCGGAGTGTGTTTGAGGCTGAGGAAGGACCGGTTGGGCCCGCAGATGACGGGGGAGAGGGCGGAGGTCAGCACGGAGCCGGGAGGGCTCGGCGCCACGTTGTACTCGTCCAGCAGGCGCACGATGTCGTGGTGCATGCGCTCCTGCGCGATGTCCCGCGGCAGCCGGTCCATGTGGTCCGTGATGTCCCGGTTGGCGAAGTGGTCCAGCAGCACCTTGGCCGTCTCGTAGCTGCCCTCGCGGGCGGCCAGGAACAGGGGCGTCTCCTCCTGGGAACACGGGCACAGACAGGGAGGGTCACCCTCGGCCGTGCCCCGCCGCCAGAGGGACCCGCGGTCTGACGCCCCACCCGTCAGGGGGAGGGGGCTCCTTTGTCCCGACCTGGCCCCCTACCAGCGCCTACCCTGACCAAGTCTTCTTCTTCTTTTAAAACATATTTTTAGCCCTGACTGGTTTGGCTCAGTGGATAGAGCGTCGGCCTGCGGACTGAAGGGTCCTGGGTTCGATTCCGGTCAAGGGCATGTACCTTGGTTGTGGGCACATCCCCAGTAGGGGGCATGCAGGAGGCAGCTGATCGATGTTTCTCTCTCACTGATGTTTCTAGCTCTCTATCCCTCTCCCTTCCTCTCTGTAAAAAATCAATAAAATATATTTAAAACAAAACAAAACATATTTTTATTGGTTTCAGAGAGAAGAGAGGAGGAGAGAGATATAGGAACATCAACGATGAGAGAGAATCATGGATCGGCTGCCTCCTGCAGGCCCCCTACTGGGGATCGAGCCTGCAGCCCAGGCATATTCCTTGACTGGGAATCGAACCCTGACCTTCTGGTTCACAGGTTGATGCTCCACCACTGAGCACACGGGCTGGGCTGACCAAGTCTTAAAAACAAAGCCTTACACCCGCCTGAGCCCGCCGGAGCTGGTCTGTGGGGTTACACGTTCTGAATCGGGAGGGTTTACCTTTGCGGGGTCACAGACCCCACGGGAATTCTCACTGTGGCCTCTCCCCCCGAAAGCTGCACAGACGCAAACGCAGTGGCCTGATGCCCTGTGCCCAGTCCCTGCGTCTGAGGCCCAGGCTGCCCAGTGCCCACTCGGGGACTAGGTCAGGTCCAGGTCACTCCTATACTGGGGCCAATGCCCTGCTGGGCGGTAGCCCTGTGCGTGGGAAGGGCCGGCGAACACAGGTCGGATGAAGGAAGGGCTGCACCGAGCTATGGGGTCTGCATCTACCGTGTACCAGTTCCCAGGGGCCCGGCCTGGGCCCCCCGGCACCCCGCCCAGGGC